CGTTATATATATATATATATATATATATATATGTATATATATATATATATAGATATATATAGATATATATATAGATATACATATACATATACATATACATATACATATACATATACATATACATATACATATACATATATATATAAATAAATAAATTCACTTCTTTCATGTGGATTCCACATCATGTTTTGCGCAACATATACATATACATATACATATACATATACATATACATATACATATACATATACATATACATATATATATAAATAAATAAATTCACTTCTTTCATGTGGATTCCACATCATGTTTTTTGCGCAAACCCTTAAAAGCGACCGACTATTTTCATGTCAACTCATAGCTTGCATATCTATCCAACAGCACATGCATCTATTTTAAGTTCTAGTGTACACCTTTCTTGCTTATATTAATCAACATCAAATGCTCCTAAGTCTAATTAAACATGACATAGTAAAAATGCCTAACATGTAGTTATTTATCTGACAAGCTTCGTGCTTGCTTAATTCTCTGCACGGCAATATATTTATGTTTTTCAGTGGAAACCCCAACATGACTTATACCTTCTACATTGGGAACAACTCATCAATCACGATGGCATATTACAGAGCCATGCTTTATATAAAATCAACGGTTGAAAATTGACATTATCAATAACAAAATGGTGTGTACTAGAAAAGGGACTTGAAAATGTCTTCCAAAGGAGTGGAAGTACGAGGTAAGAAATCATCCTACATCATAACATCACCATCAACAACATGGAATATACAAGAATAAGATCATTATTCACAATAAGATGATATACTAAGATAGAAGTGAGACAAGGTTGCATGCTAACTCCATGAGAACAGACAAGGCTTGTAAATTTAGCTTCTAAGGGTAGTTAAATGTTTTATTTAAATAATACTCAGGAGGAAATGATATACACATTCAGTGTAGAGGTTGGCAACATAGCCATGGAAAAGTCAAGGACAATCAATTGTGACCTAGCTCCAGTTTGCTAATTAGTAATTAACAATTTCTCTTGTATAAGTCTTTCTAATGTTTTAATGCAGTAATATACACTGCATCTGAAGTGATTCCTGTGTAGAATTACAAACATCATCCTGTAGATGCCAATAAAGAAAGTAGTGTTATCTAAATTATTATCCATGACTATATACTGTTTTAATCTGTACCCATGCATACATATGTTCTGTAACTTTTTTTGTCCCAAAAATAGTAGGGAATTTTATTTGAATCTTTAAATCAATCTCCCAGTAACACAATTCTTAATACATGAAACACAAATTCAGCCAATTCCAGTAATCTGAGAGATGACACATAGGAGATCTTTACAACTTTTTGTGCTGATTAAGAAAATTAGTAAGCAACTTTCTCAAACCATAATCATGTTTTCAGAATAGAACCCCATATGCCATTTTTTTGAAACAAGATTTCCGACCTCCTTCTTAACATTAAATCAAACTGCATAATCTTAGAATTCTAAGATGCCTGGTCCCATCATAGCCTTCATTTTGGAATTATACAACCATATCAAAAAATCCTTACATGACCAAATCATTAACAATGTTCCAACTTGTACCGTTGAGGCTTTGAGAGAGAGGTGTAGTACTTATTTCTTTTGCTTGTTTTTGGCAGCTAGACCCCTTCAACTTCATACGTTCTTCATCGACCACAAATCATCAAAATGGAAGTTCTGATGTCCAAATAATCTAACATAAAATCATATGGCCATTGATCACGTCTTAGACATCAAAATGGAAGTTCTGATGTCCAAATAATCTAACATAAAATCATATGGCCATTGATCACGTCTTAGAAAACATGACACTTCATATTTGTTGGTTGTAATCTAACATAAAATCATATGGCCATTGATCACGTCTTAGAAAACATGACACTTCATATTTGTTGGTTGTGTTTAACCCAGAATATCTATCAAATATATTAAGACATAAAGATCCTTAGTTAAGTGTAACTGTGTAAGGTATGTACTTGCCTTTGATGGCTCTGTTAGTGGCTCTAGCATAAGTTCCTTCTTTTGTGATCTAATACTCTTACTTGTTTTACAGAATCCAGGTAAATGTTGCCTTGTTTTTCTTGAAAACATTTCTAAGGTTGTGGGTGATTCGGGTAAGTGAAACTTTCTTCTCTTTTCCCTTTATTGGTGTTCATAGTGATGGTAACTCTAAGTTAATTACTCATCAAAAAGGGGGAATTAGAATCTCACCATGGAGAAGAGAAGACAAGCTCCCCATTGGCATGTAATCATACACCAGCAACCTCTCATCCTAACTATAGTAATAAGCCCTCAAACCCACCAAATTCTGATGCTCCATCACTCCGATCACCGTGATCTTCTCTCTGAACTCTATCTCTGTGGTGCTCATCCCTTCAACCTCTTCACCACCGCCAACGTCCCCATATCCAGCACCACCTTGTACGCCGTCCCGAACGTCCCCTTTCCCAAAATCTCCGCCGATGCCTTAAGGAAATCCTCGAGATCGTAATCCCTAGCCCCCTGACCGAAGAACGCCAGCCACTTCCCGC